TATCGACACAACGTAGTTGTGGACTACTACTTAGTTCGTACGGCGCCCGTTGGCGCTACGAGCAATCCCCCCGCTTGCCCTCCGATCCCCGCGCCNACTCCGCGAATTTTTGACGCTGTGTGTACAGGCGACACTGTGTAACACAGTGTCCATTAGTGTGAGAAAGAGCATATCAGTGTGTCTCATTCACACTAGTGGACACAGTGTTACACAGTGTCGCCTGTGTACGTAGTTGGAAAGCACTCATAATATATATAAAAATATGAGAGCTTTTTTCAGCTACGTACACAAGCGACACTGTGCAACACAGTGTCCACTAGTGTGAGTGAGACACACTGATATGCTTTTTCTCACACTGACGGACACAGTGTCGCCTGTGTACGTAGCTGGAAAGCTCCCTATATATGCACATAAGACAAAATAGAACCATGTTTTGGCCTGTTCTACAATATTGTCGTAAGCTGTAAGTCGTAAGAAATTGACTAATCACAGACTAATTACAGAAGAAGAATTGATTGTGATTGGTCAATTTTTAACGATTTACGTCTTACGACTGCATTGTAGAACAGGCCTTAACGTACATAGCACGGAATAGAACCGTTTCACGTTGGGACATTGCATACATATCGACATCGCTACGTAGTTTCATTGCGCACCACTCCTGGACATGCGCTAGTTTACGCGGCGGCAAAGTAATTATACATTTTCTTACAGACGTGGCCGCTCTCAGGCTTTTCTCTGGGGCTGTTAAGATGCCTAACCTCAAAAACCATCCGCAACGCAAGAGGCGGCAAAAAATAAAAAACTAATTGTAGTACCTAACCCTAATCTAACAACGTTACAAGTTGCCATAAAACTGTACATCGCTAGAAGTTTGTAAGTCTAACGCGTACATTTTAAAATTTTCGCTCGAATATGATTTTTATAATTGCTGCTTCTCGTTTGTGTGAGTAAAGACACATTACAGCCAAACTTGACAACTTTGTCGCAATTTATTGGCGTATAATTCACATCGACAGCATTTGTCTCGTTGTGCAATTTATTTCTAATAACAATTTAAATAACTTTAACAATGGGAAAAATATATTCGACGTTGACGCGACCAGTTCGCACCTTTAATATCGAAAATCGTGCAGAGAAGATCATATCCCGAGAGAAACCAATACCGGCACCTCAATATGAATCTACGGAAAAGCAGAAGAAATTGTTGAACGAAAGTAAGTAATAACAAATTAATGAAAGTCGTATATAGAAACGATGATTCTTTCTTTAAAATCACGTTGTGATATTACGTACGTATGATGAACTATATAAACTTTAATACTTTGGTTTTTAAGATAGACATCTTGAGATACGTACATTTTAATACTTTTTCTCCGATGTTTGTTATGTAATCTCTGTTTTAGTAAATCCAAAATTTCTTGAAGATCATTATAAAAAAAATGTACAACTGGATCAACGACTAAAAGATGTCTTTGTAACATCAACAGATTCACAGGTATATTTATCTTATATATTCTACATTTGCTTTTTTTTATATTTAATGTGGGAGCAACCATAAAAAGATTGCAGCATTGTTTAGGAGAGTTTAAGTAAAGAAGAAAGAGAGATCAAGTCTTTACCTCAAATGAGACATAGCAGAGATGATTTTATATTTGATTGTTATGAAACTGCAGTAGTTCCTGAAGGAAAGTGCACAGTGAAACAAGCATACACGTTTCTTTCACTGCACAAACGGGATCCAACAACATATAACAGTGAACATATAGCTGCTAAATATAAATTAGATAAGAAAACAGTAGGTATGTATAGTTTGAGATACTTTTTTCAAGTTAAAAGTATTAGTATTTGTGTTATATTCAAAATTTTTAGTATATTTTTGTTAATTTAAATAATGTTGTCAAACTTGTATATTTTTATATATAAATTTTTCTAGATGAAATATTGAAGTATTTCAAACTTTATGCGCTTGTTGAGTCTAATTCAGAATTAGAAGAACCAGAAGATCCCTTCCAAGATATGATAGATGATGCAATAAAGAATCAAAAAAAGGCATCCATAGAAGACAAAAACTGAAGTGCAACTTGTATATATATATATAGAAAAATAATTTATTACAGATTACTTTATGTTTTCTTTGTATGTATATAAATAAATGTACATAACAATCTATATCGACACATTTGGAAGTAATGTATTTTAAAAGTAAAAAAGTTACAGTTAAAGACTGTTTGTTAAAACAATCAGCAGGTATCAATCAACGCGTTTCCCCGATTAGGTCCGCATTCTTATAAGATCTACAACAGAAATTGCAGCACATTATTAACAGTAACAATGATCAAGCGCCGATTGGTTGAAACATCGCTTACTTGCCGCAACATGATAAATGGCAACAATCACGACTAAAACGTGGAATTGTCTTTTGACGGACGGCGTCGAGCGAGAATAATCAGGAAAGAAATCCTGACTGTTTGAACTTGATTCTGGAATGGTCATAGTCTTCATCATCATCCAGTAAAATGCTTTCATTTTCAATCTCTTTTTTAATTCCGTACCAACTTCTTCTCGTATGCGTTTATTGTAATTATTTAACCAACGCCGCTGCACAATGTGAACTGTTTTTTTATTTGCTATAACATGAAACCTTTGACGTGGTAGGTTGTAGAAAATTTTTATTTTTAAAACTTACGTGCAACGGGGTTAGCATGTCGAAATTGATGAGTTTTGGTTCGTAAGGAACGAGAGTGACATCCCGGAATCTAAGAAACGTCTTTTCATTACGAGGCTGGAACGAAACAAGTTTTTGTTTTTGGCAAATATTAACATTTTATATAAGAATTAACGAAATATACCAGTATGAAATACATTAGATGTAGAACTTGTTACAGTGTGGTGCACAGATAAGAATGCATCAAAGAACGTACTAATTTGCCAGCCGTTATTACTTCGAGTATGTTTTCCAAACGAACACCGAAATCACCCTCTTTGTAGTAGCCCGGCTCGTTCGACAAGAAGAATCCTGGCTTCAATCTGGCGGAACATCCTGCGAGTGAACTTTTGTATCCATGATACGAGACGCTGATAGGCGCTGCAACGCGTATTCTTCCACTAGAATGGCTTATACGGATTGCATTCCGCATTCTCGTGTGAAGCAACTATTTTTTACGACAAATCGTCGATTACAAACATTCGTGTACTGAGGAGAAGTGACCAATCCCGTGACCGGTGCCGTGCATGTAATTGTAACCGGTGCTCCACAGCGGCCTTCGCGCGACAGCGTCCAACTGATCGGTCGTTGTATCGCTGGGGAAGATAAGAGACGACAGCTCGATCGAACCGATTAGCACCCTCGTGTAAGCCTTTTTCTGTTCATCGGTCGGAATTCCAAAATGAAGAGTTCTGGTCACGTCCGTGGTACCGTCTGGCAAAACAATTTTTCATTAATGTTTTTCGTGTGCTTATATGCGTATGTGTCACGATCAATTCGGCTTATTATTTTCTAGCAAGATAAAAATAAACAAAAGCTTTTGTACCCAGATACTGTCCTCCGGAATCCACTACTAATGTGGATGTGGTCCCGATTTTGATATTGGTCAAATTAATCGGCTCGTAATGCGGCACAGCTGCGTGCGGTCCGTATCCTGCGATTGTCGGAAAAGCGATACCTCTGTTATAATCCTGTTCGTAACGTAATTCGTTGGCCACTCTCGCTACTTGCATCTCGTCCCATCCTTCGGAGTTCAACTCGTACTGCTCTTCCATATAGGCCAGGAAATCGCACATGGCCACCGCGTCTCTTAAATGAGATTTCCTCATACCTGCCGCTTCGACTTTGTTCTTCTCCGCCCGTAGCTCGATCACAGGCGAAGGTTTTGGCAGTCTTTTCTCTACTGGAATCTGATGGAAAAGATTTTTGCTTATAGATATTTGTTGTTTTTTTAATTTCTTATGTTTCTTTTTTCCATCGCAAATATTTTCCCGCAAGAAGTTAAATTCAATATCGAATTGAGGCTCAATCGTCTTTTCGATTGCACTTACGGAATCGTATATTTCTTTAGACGCACCAAGCGTGTAGCCGCAAGGTGACGGAAGCCACACCGTGTTCCAGGCTTGAGACATAGTTTTCAAGTCGTACCAAATATTCGTGTAGTTGTGCAACCTGCAACGATGATTGTCATTTGCGAGTTTATTTGATTCTTTGCGCAATTATATTTATTACGATTATAAATTGTTGTCCTTTTTCAAGACTTAATGTTAAATAATTTCGAATTGATTTACATGTTTCATAAAAATGTGTAAAATGATAATAAAAATAGAAAAGAGCCAATACGAGGCAAACACAGGATATTAGTGTGAATCAACAAAATTTATTCAATGCCAAACGTTTCGATCACAAATTTCGATCTTCATCAGTGGCAACAACATAACATTAAAAAATTAGGTTGTATATCAGCACATTTTATACAGTTGAATGACGAGCAAGAGCCGATTTACTAGTACTGAGTAAAATGATATTTTGTTTTTTCTTACTTGACACAGTCCGCGTGAAAGCATGAGTCGGTTTTCAAATGTATATCGACGGATCGCAGAATTTTCTGTTTTGGCGCGTAGAGATGTAAAGATCCTTGAGTGACAATTGCGTAGGCCCTTATGACAGGTGTATGCGGTAGATCGTAACCGCGGATGTTAAACAGCCATGCTATCTCATCCAATGCAGTGACGACAAGCGCATCGGCCGACCAGAGCTCCATTTCCAACCGGATGCTCCGAACCTTCTCTTGCCACGGTTTACCTGAATATTCGTCTGTCAGCGGATATGCCGCGTGTGAATTGTACTCAGGCCGACCCACCTGCCAAATCAAGTCCACCAGGTCGTTACGAACCGCAACTAATTTTACGGTTGAATTCGCTGAAATAAGATTCGCGTTAGTCGCGTAAAAGAGAGTCAGTTTTGTCGCGCAATCGATAAAATTTATCTCGAACTTCGAAACAGAGAAGATAAAATTATTTCACTCATATGTGTAATTTATTTTATTGTTTTGTAATTTTTTTTGCTATCCATTTCACATCGATTTCCACTCAATCAATGATTTACCTAATTCCTCTTCCCACAATTCCCACATGTATGCAGATATTAACTTCGGATTAGCGCCAATACGCACTTCCGTTCGATTTCGAAATTCGTGAATCAACCATTCTGTTATCGTTGGTACCTACAATTTATAATGCAAATACATCACATTAATATATCATTGTAATACTCTAAAATATTCAGATAATTTACTTACATCGTGTTCACCTTCTTTCATTAGAATCCAGTTGCAATCCAACTGATGATCTGCTTGAATATGATATCGACCGTCAGTCCAAAATATCGCTTTATCTATAGTGACCAGGGCTTCTCCAGCGCTCCCATAAAATCCGGTAAGAAATTCTTTTCTCATATCACTCGGATCTAGACTTTCGCTCTGTATAAAAATTTCATTAATATAAGACGTGACATGTGAAAAAGAATTTTAATTTGTATATATATTAAAGTAATATTTATATTAAAAAAATTTAAAAAAACAAGCATTAAAAAAACAAGATACGCCAAAAATTATGTTCTTAAAAATCAATGTTTCCCAAAATGTTGCTCAATATTGAGCTGCTGCAAATTGAGAAGTTTTAATTTTAAAACGGTTTTAGACAAACGCGCACTTTTTAAATTTTTTTATAACATTGTCATTCACACGCGTGGAACAATAATTTTCTAATTCTGTTGAAAATTATAATAAATTTATTCACTTTGGGAAACTTAGATTTCTGAAACTACACGTACAAACACTTTTGTGCGTTTAAAAAAGGAATATACAATTTTGTTCAATAAATACGCGTGAAAAATCAAAGCTACAATTGTGCGCAAAATGCAATATATGAATGTTACTGTTCAATACTGCACACTGTCAGACACACACTATCACACATCACGCAAATGTACCTCTGAAGGGCCGTCACGGCCGTGAGAAACGAAGCTCACTGTCTGAAAATTTCAGCATAAATAAACAAAAACCACAATGTAACGTCTTGTAATTATAATCAGAGTATAGATCCTATAGTACATCGTTTATATATTAAGACATTGAACAGAGATTGATACTGAATCTTTATTAACATTAATAAAAAAACAGAAAAAAACAGTGAGTGCGCTCGACTGTGTTTTTGTTAACTCGTGCGATGTGTGCGGAAGGATACCAAAACAGTATGTGTTTTTTTCTACGTGGAACGACCGATAATGCTTTCACTTTGGATACTCGCGCGCTTTGAGCGTTAGTCTAGTTTTGTTTTACATTTAAAGATCAACAAAGATGAGCGTTTTTAAAGAGCGCTCACACAGACGTAACATCCGTTGGACGTTTATAACTTTATGTGACGTTTAATAATCATCTAGTGAAAATTTACAAAATATTCTTTGTAGGCATAAGCGCCTGGAATGAACGCACTCTGATCGCGACTATATATACGTATATATACGTACGAAAACAATAAAAAATACTTAAATCTTTGAGAGAACACGGAAGTCGTCATAAATAATATTAATAATTAAATTTTGACAACGTTAAGTCGATGACTTCGCGTATCGCTTGTCTATTTTTCACAAAGTACAGTAATCTAGATAGATGAGAATCATATCGTAGAATCATGATCGACACGAGTTAATCACATTGATTAACGCGTGGAACTCACTTGGTGCTCGTCGTCCGATGTGACGATGTAACCGTCGAGGGCCGGTCCTTGAACCGCGGTCACTCGAGTCATCTCAGATCTTAATTGTCTCAATCGCAGCGAACTATCGTATCGATTGACAGGTTGATTTTCGACGTATGCGTTCGCGGGGCAGTATGATCTCTGGGCGCCGTTATAATTGATCTCCGGCGTCGATAATTTGCCGGCGTCAGCTCTCGTTAATCCTGCAAAACAATAATAATTTTTGCTCTTTTTTCTCTCTAGTAAAAGTATAATATAAAAGAATAGTACGTAAAAAAGAAAAAAAAAACAATCAGGTTTTGGAGGCGCCGGGTATCGATCCCGGTACCTCTCGCATGCTAAGCGAGCGCTCTACCATCTGAGCTACGCCCCCTTCACGTCGTCGTAACCCTTGTAAAAAAGATTGTTATACAACGTGACATATAATTGCAAGTACGTAATCTCTTTCTCTCTTTTGTATGTACATTTATACGAGTCGATTTTTAATTTTTTGTACAATTTATTAGTTATATATACTTTAAAAAACTTGTATTAAAACTCAATTACATGTGCAGGCTTTGAATGTAAACAGATCACAATATAATATTATATGAATAATTTTTATGAATAAATACTTTGAGATCATTGTATTTATTCTAAACAATTTTAAAACAATTCTTTCCCCCCCTCTCTCTCTCTTCTTTGTTCTGCAATAAAATAATAATATAAGAATTTAACATAAAAAAAGAATAGACACTTAACAGAAAAATTAATGCAACGATGAAGTAGACTTTAGTTAACGACTTTAGTTAATTACTTTAAGTTAATAAAGATAAATTAATCTGATATCAGATATATTAATATAAGTAATTTAATATCAAATAGTAAGTGACTGTGTTATAAACATTTTTTGACAATGTTGAAGTTTTCAGAGAATAGAGTACGATATTAATCTTAAAACTTCTGGAATTTAAATAATTCTTTGGATCTTCACAAACGGGCTACGTAATTACGAGACTTTGGATTGATTTCATTGACCGGAACTAGTTGATTGCCATTGCATATGTTGCGTCTCATGGGAATCCAGAGGGTGTGCTAAGTGGTGCTCGCGTATCAGGAAAGCATATCGAACTCGAAGCCTGATCGTTTCGAAATGCACAGTCGATCGCCACGTGCATTGAAACCTTTGCCAGCATCTCACCAGTAATACAAGCCAGACAGACATTTATATGTATATCTGTACGCGAACAGACTTGTGTTTTGTTTCCTTTTTCTCTTTCTTTTCGTGATCATTGAATCCGCGACTTTCCGCGCGCTGACGTCGTCGTGCGGTGAGATGCGTCACGACGACGCGCGTTGTTGTTACTCCGCGCCACGGGAATCGATTTTGTGTGCGACGAACGGATCGAAATTTAATTCGGACAAAATCGTGCGCGTTCGCACAGTTTATCATTAATGCTAGAAAACTGGGTCAGCGTATTGTTTAATTTAATAATTTAACGTAAACATCAAGTAATATTAAATATATTACTAGGGAAGTAGGAACGTGCAGTAGGGAAGTTTTACTCCGATGTAACCTTACAATTTTCAGCTCGGTAATTTTCTCTATAAATTTTCCCCGCTGATACGGTGAGGATCACGCGCGTTCCTCGTTCTTCTCTGGTCACCGCTAATTGTTCATTAATTTCATCTTATCCTTTATCTGATTGTCGCAAGGAAATACACGAAGAAAAAAACAAAGACCATCTTGCGCGTGTGGGTTTTATTGCAACAGAGATATTGTCGCGCGGAGCGTCAATAACTTTTGAATGTAGAACAATATTTTTTATAATAAATTTACAGTTATGTAAGAAACAAAGGAAAAGAGAAGAGATATATCTTTTTGTTAAAATATCGTACACATATCTCAAACGAAGAAAAATTTTCACAGAAAAGAAAGCACGAACAATTGAAAAGTTCAAAATGCATTTACCAGGAAAAAAACGTGTCATTTAATAATAACAAATTGAAAAACTGAAAAAGCGATAATATATTCACCGTTATATTTATTATTCTATTATGAATAAAAAGACACAGTATACATTGAACCTATATAGATTGTCTTAATTAAAAATTTGATTCTCTCTTAAAAATTTCAGGTTGTATATTATTTCATACCAGCATTTATATAAAATTGCATTTGTATTATTTGTGATACAAATGTACATGTACTTTAATTTAAAAAAGCACGCGCTTCTCTTTGTATTTCTAATTTGTATTAATTTTTGTAATATTTCAAACTGTGAATAATGTTAAAAGATTGCAATCTTTCGCAAAAGAATTCGCATTTGAAAATTATTACAAAAAGATCACTCGCATTGCAAAGTGTTCATTGTCCAGCTATGGCGTTGCAAGCACTTTTCAGTTGTGAGAACACGGGTTTTGAACTAACAAAAAAGAATTGTAATTAAAATATAAACTTTTTATTAAATATGATCATAATAGAATACTACAACAAGTTATAGTTTCCTGATAACGCGTTACATTAGATTCGGTTATTGTACGAGAATATAAACGATGATGTATAAATCGCACCCCTACATCCAGCAGTTGTAATTTTAATTAACAAGCGCTGTAAAACCACCGGTTTGGCCGGTATATTTATTTACAAATCTCGTTATCCCACTGTAGAATAACCGAATCGAATGTAACGGGTTATCAAGAGACTATAATTGGTTTGTAGTCTCTTATCGCGATCGTATTTAAAGAGGATATTTCCCCACGTACGAAATAAATTTCTAAGGAAACGATCGTGATTTAATAATTGAATTAAATTTGTACGTACGAGTGGATTTTAAAATACATATGTGTAATGTAACACACTTTTAGTAACAATAATAGTAATGAGAATTTATAGTCGGCACGTAAATGAAGGCAGTGTGATATTGATGCGATATTAATTTGTATAATATAATATCTTGTGTCTCTTAACATTTCAAAAGACCCATCTTTAGGACGCACATGCTCTTTGATGTTGTTATATCGGCTTTACTGTTGGATCGTTTTACTATCCCGAGAATATCAGGATAGTATGAACTCTCTCCTGGTTATTCTCGGGTGGCAGGTAAGCTGAATCCAAGAACGCGAGTGTGCGAGCGAGTTGATCTCGTCGGAGACGAGACGCACACCGTAAAAGCAATATTCTGATAGTGTATATCAGGGTGAAAGTCTGACAGAGGCAAAAGTGATTCGCCTTCTTGGTTGGTACCACGTTGCCGTTGTTCTATCATTTGTTCACCACTCACTTTCAAGCTTTAAGCCGATCAGGTTGGCAGCATGACGAAGAGCTAGGTGGACTTTCACGACTGACGCGAATTCCGCTCGCTCGTTGCTTTTATATGACGTTCCTTTCCTGAGAATGCTTGTTGCGTTATTCTCACACTGAAGGCTTTAGACTGAAGGTGTGTATGTACATATATCTGGGTCATATATATATTACGAGTAAAAATTTATTACAATTGCGAGATAAGATTTGTCTAATACAGAAGAATCAGTGCGAAAATCAATAATAATTAAATCATTTTTTTTTAATGACAGTTAGTATCTCGAAGATACGTGTATTTAAACTTCGTTAGGCTAAAATTACATTAATAAAATGAATAATTACGCAGACAAAGAAAGAGAGAGAGAGAGAGAGAGAGAGAGAGAGAGAGAGAGAGAGAGAAGAGAGAAGAGAGAAAGAAAGAAAAGAGAGAAAAGAGGAAAAGAAGGAAGGAAGGAAGGAAGTAAAAAGAGAAGGAAGAAAACAGGTAGAGAAGAGGCACGCGGCTATCACAGGAGACATATGTTTTGCGAGCTCGAGCATTAAATGACGCAAAGGAGGAGAGATGATCGAGATAGTGCGAGCACACAACTGTTCCTTGAGATGATTTTTAGAATCTTGCGAACAGGCTCGCATAATCCGCCGAAACTTGTGCCTTCATCTCGTCTGTTTGTGGACCAGTTTCCGTTGCTCGCAGAAGCGGTCCTTTCGTCTTCTTCTCAATGCTACTGTCCTGATCAATAAGATGTTAGGAATACACCGGCAGTTTGGCAATAGAGATTCGATTAGATATATTTATCGCAGCGCGTAATGGTATTGATTATAAAATGTGTATACTAAAATGCAATGACTACTAATCGAGCGCGCGTATTCGCGGATAAAAAACGGCACGACAATGATCAAACAAATACGCGCATAAGTATTGCTTCAAGATCACTCGTTCTGTACAAAAAAAGAAAACAATCATGTCGAAAACTTACATGATCTACATTTGTATGTTCAAAGCTAGACATTGTTACAATTGTAATTGAGTTTTACGGAATAATAAAAAGAAAAAATTTATTTCTGTGATAAAAAAATTTGTTTTAAATTTTCAAATTATCAACGAAAATATTATCATTGGATTGGCGGTTGAAATTATCAACAAAAATATCATTGGATTGGCGGTTGAAATTATCAACGAAAATATTATCATTGGATATGTGAATGAAATTTAAACTTTAATATATGCAATATTATTATATCATAAAATTCGCAAAAATGCAATTTGATGTCTCTGAATGTTTATTCTCTTAGTATTAATGTTTTAATCGGTCTTAATGCTTTTTAATTAATATCTTTGATTTTTCTGTGTAATGTGTATGTATATATTTGACTCTCATTAAATTTAATACACGTATTATATCTTACGCATTCGTGGAAACATATTCACCGTGATTTTGTGATCTTGTAATTAAGAACGTCATTTTGTAGAATGTGTGTGCGCAGTGAAAAAATCATTTCTCTCTCTCTCTCTCTCTCTCTCTCTCTCTCTTTCCATACAGAATGAACTATCTATTCATCTAACAAAATACCATACGAAAAGCTAACACGCGAATCTACAAACTAGTTGCGAACGTCACGAGATGATCTTTAGTATCTACTTATCAGGATTGCATAAACCGCTGGAGGTTTGACGGTTTACATTATTTGCATCTTCAATCACTGGTGTCGTTCGGTCGTTCGGATTGTTCATCGTCGAAGCGGCTATTATTTAGCTTAGTTTCTCATCCGAGCTTCCCAGCAACCGGAGATGTTCTCGATACAATAATTCATTACTTACTTCCGTTCTGTCATCGACGTCTCGCGACGCGTCATTGATTCGTCAAATTTATGAGGCTCATCGTCGATGCACAAAAGCAGCAATCTCGGATCAGCGATTCA